AGCAATTTTAGTTTCTTGGTACAACAAAAATTTAAAAAATATTTAGCCACAATGATCACCCACTCTTTCACATACACAGAACCATCCTTAGGGGTGTAGGTCAGGGAGAAAAAGCCCTTACCTATGTATTGCCTAATGCAACTCTGCTTTAGCAATTAAGTTCTTTGAATTCACTACGTTAAATATCCACGTGTACCTCCCTTATCCCCTCCCTCTCTACCCACCAATCCCAGACACCCCCTGATGAACCTACATTCTAAAGTCTTTGTTATTTTCTAAGCCTCATGACTAAGGCTGTTGAGTACCACCTCCAACTGGAGCAAAATTAACACCTAGGGTGCCCTTTCTATAGCACTTTTTTCTTCTCCACAATCGAGTGAAATTTTGATGCTCAAGCCTGTATCTATACCTTCAAGCCACTAGGCCAAGGTTGGCTGCTAGCGTGGCCACTGGCTCTGCTTGAAGGTTCCTGGTCCACTCTGGTTGGTGGCTGTGGGTCATGTCCAGCAGTGATTTCTTTAGAATTTGAGTTGTCATTGGGGAAATAAAAAGTCTGGTTGTGGGAGTTAAAGAAGGTGCTTCCTGCCTGCCCCATTGGGTTTTGTTCTGTGCTATCATTAGCCTTGTTTTGTCCACTTGCTTGCTTGTTACAAATGAGGTATGAAGAATTGTTTCTGTCACCAGTGACTGCCTTTTCCACAGGAGGAAACGTAGGTGACTGGGGAGCAGTTGGTGAGGAGCATTTTTTCAACTGGGAATACATTGAGGGTCTGTCGAAGTAGGAACAGAATAGTTCAATGATATTTAAGGCAAGAGACACCAAGGACACCACCAGCATGAAGATGATGAAGATGGTTTTCTCTGTGGGGCGAGAGAGGAAGCAGTCCACTTGATGTGGGCAGGGCTCTCTTTTGCAAGTGTAGACAGCACTCAAGCTGAATCCATAGATGTACCACTGGATCAGCAAGAAGGCTACCTCAAAGACACACTTGAAGAAGATACTGATGATGTAGGAGATCTTCAGACTTCCTTCCATTTTCACTTGATCTTTCTCCGTAATGACACACTTGTCCTCTATTTCAATATCCTTCTTCTGCTTTTCTACCTTGTACTCATCAGTCTCGTCAAGTTTCTTGTTCGGTTTCTCTTCTTTGTGCATCACATAGATCACATGAGCCAGGTACAAAAGTGGGGGTGTGGACACAAATATGATCTGTAGGACCCAGAAGCGCACATGAGAGATTGGGAAAGACTTGTCGTAGCAGACGTTTTCACAACCAGGTTGTTGGGTGTTACACTTAAAGGCAGACTGCTCATCACCCCAAACTGACTCAATTGCTGTCTTCAGTATCAGGATTCGAAAAATGAAGAGAACATACAACCACACCTTCCCTCCAGAATTGGAGTGGCCTTGGACCTTGTCAAGGAGTTTGCTTAAGAAACTCCAGTCAGCCATGATGCCTGGACACCTTCTGAAAAAAACCAAGAGGCAATTCAATGAGTATAATACAAATGACCAGCTTAAGAGACGGTGTCTTTTTTTCCAGCTGACAGCTAAAATATTACAAATTGTTTCGTTTCTAGCCTCCATCAAAAACAAAACAAAAACAAAAGCCAAGTGTAAGCTCTTCCAATCACATTTCCACTCCCAGAGTCTCATACTTATTTATTTATTTATTTT